TATTTTGTTCGCATGTAAATTAAGTAGAATTTATAAAAAAAAAAATATTGGTTTACCAAAGAATCCTATAAAATACTTTTGTATCTTGGGGACGGTTCATGCACCCATTGCTGAGGCTCCTTCACACTCAAGAGGTACATTCACCCTCAAGGAGTTCATTCATCCTCAAGAGATACATTCGCCCTCAAAGGGTGCATTCACCCTCAAGGGGTACATTCACCCTCAAAGGGTGCATTCACCCTCAAGGGGTACATTCACCCTCAAGGGGTACATTCACCCCTTGTTGGGCATCCCTATCTAGAGAAATTCAGTTAGATCAAGGACCCTTATCTCATCTAGGAATCACTTCCGTTTTTACCAGTTATCACCCATAGACACGAGCAGCTTCGGTAAGCTTCCATTACACTCTGACCTCTATGATAGAGACTTACTGCACGGAATTTTGGAGAGACTGGGAAGACGGATTACCATTATCATAACGGTAATAGCCACTTTGATGCAAGATCTGGACAAGTAGCTAGTGGTTCTTTATAAGTTTCAAAGGAGATCTGGATGGGAAAACAATCTCCTTTCAGTAAGCACTACTATAATTTTAATGCAGCATCATCTTAAGACTGCTTGTGAGTTAGCAGCTAAGAACATAGTAGTGCCTCAGAAGCTGTTTCCAGATCACTGAAAGTAAGAAATAAAGCAATGACACTCAAGTTGGTTTCAAGACATGTGTTGCAAGTGAGTTCGTACTCCCGGTGTATCACATAAGTCATATTAACGGGGGAGGCAAAAATGACGATTTTTTTGGTTTATATTACTCAGATTTCAATGAAATTTTTATTGTAAGCTAAGAAGCTGTTCAAACGTTTATACTGGAAGTTCTATGAAGTTTGTCTTAAAAGAGAGAAAAAAAATATTTTTGATATGGCATTACTCAAGTATTGTGTTTGCAACATCGATAAGATGTAAAATGTTATAGTTGACTTTACATGAACAGTAAAACGATAAAGAACACTCACTTCAAGGGATATGACCGTAAAAAAATTTTTTTTTTTTTTGGGGGGGGGGGATAAAAAGCATAAATGGTAAAGGCTACTGCCAATAGACGTTGGTTCTTTGTAAAACCACGATTAAAGCAGATCGTAGTGACTCTTCCTACTACTTCAGTTCTTCCCATATAAACTGACCATCATGTTGGAATACCTGCCATTACTAGTGCAACACACGTACATCTAGAGAACTTCCTTTGCAGTATCTAGACAAGTTCGTAGAATGTCTCTCAGTTGATATAACTGTTGATCGTAAATAACTTCTACTAAAGTACATTTGTTAATTTTGTGATGTACCTCAGTGTTGCTTTTCAAGTGAATACGACGTTGTTGTTCAAGGAGCAACACCTGTTAAACAATCACACTACAGAATGAGTGCAGCTAAACAGAAAACTGTTCAGAAAGAAATGGTTTCTTCTATGATCAGATGGACAGACTGAACGAAGTAAAAGTCCATGAGCGTCACAGTGTACACTTGTACCTAAACCTGATGGTAGCTACAGGATGTGCACCACTTACCATAAGGTGACTGCTGTCATGTTACCAGATAGATATCGACCGGTTCTCAGTAGCCACCTATGTTAATCGTCTGGACTTGCTTCCTGGATACTGTCAAGTTCCTCTCACCATTAGATTACGAGATGTGTCAGTTTTTACATATATGATGGACTTTTCAACTAGCTTGTAACCCCTTTCAGAATGAGAAAAGCGCCCTCTTCATTACGACGAATAATTCTCAAATTGACAGAAAACTTGGAGGAAATGGGGAGGGGTTAGATACATACTTGGTTGTGTACAGTGAGGACTGGAAGCAACACTTAACTCGTCTAGGGGGTTCCTTTGAGATTCTTGGTTTGTGCCATTTTATTGATGTGTGAGTTCAGTCAGATGAAGATACAATATTTTGGATTTGTTTTTGGGCAGAGTAAGATAGCCCTAATTTTAGTCAAAATTTATTATACATACAGACGAGAGTGATTATGTCATTAGGGGCTCTTTTTCTTCAGAAGAGTGACACACTCCATCCCAACTCTGTGGCATGTGCCGAGTGTTACATTTATTCTGTGCATTGCATCACACAACCATATCTTGTACTTTCTCAATAATCTGCCAAGCCGGAAGTTATGGTTATGCAGTTGTCGAGGCTCCCAGCTGTGCTGTGAATGGCTGCCAGTTTATTTGTCAACCAGTCAGGATAAGAGGTTTACGTCAAGCCAACCTGACATTATACTTACTTTCTAGCATGGAAGAGAGTCTCTCACTAGTTGGCTGATTACAGATACTGTCTCTCTCGTACGATTTTATGAGCAATTAACAGTGAGCGAACAGTGAGCTCTCCATCATTTTAAAATGCTTATCACACTATCTGCCTACATTTCTGCAGTATTACACACTCTGTAAATATTAGAAATACTGGTGGTAGAAATATACAGATACACAAATAACCTACTCTGGTGTTAGTCTTCGTCTGTATTCTCCTGTATCCACGTTCACAGGTGATTTATCTTATGACCAGGTGCGACAGGCCATCAATTTGTACTTGTTTTCATAAGCTCAAAGCATATGCCGCCGGCATCAAAATAGGTTATGCCACTTTTAAGGACAAGGCTTTAGCTTTGATTGTGTCTCTGAATAAATTTGAGATCTATCTGGGAAGTCAACTCATATTATTAAAATTTTCAGTGATCTCAATCCACTGACTATTAATTGCATGAAATCCAATAATATTAGAATTAAGAAGTGGGCCTTATTTATACAGCCTTGTAGAATCAATATTCAGCACAATAAAGATCCTTTAAACGTAATCATGGTGCTTTGTCTTGGAGGGTGAATGACTTTCTCACCCATGTCACATCTGTGCCATGACACATTTTAAGCTACTAGTTACCTGTAATTTTTTGTCTTACCTCGCACCACTGCATCTCTGCCTTGTTTAGGGATGTTAAATGTAGATGTGCTGGTGCCACTGCTGTTGTGTCCAGACTGTTCCTTCACTTCTGGGTGTTATTTCTTGGTTTTGCTTGTCTTTACACATCTCTGACGGTGAGTCAGTGCACTGGTGTTCGGGGGTTTTGTCTCACAGGAATTGTATATAGGATGTACTTAGATATGTTTTCGATTGTTGCAGGGTGTTCCTGTCATGATACCATGTGCCCAGACTGTGCACTGTCACAGTCCGGGCACATGGTAATTAGGCTACACTCTCTAGCAATGGATTTGATGGTCGCTTTTGCTCTTCCATATTTGTTCTCATTGGTCATGGTATTATCTACTATTTCACAACGTTGCATCTGTCTTAGAAGACTAATTAAGGTATCGTTGATATTTGTATTCTTATTTATACATATCACGTATGTTCGCACACATTGTACATAGTAAACGCAGTAAAGAACTTGTAAATATTTTTTTAAATTCCTTGGACTGACCTGTAACTTGATTATTTAGCAGAACATTTCGTTTTGTATTCCTGAAAACACTGTTAAACTGGAAACTGTACAATGGTACAAATATACCGGAGTCATAAATGATTTTTAAGTAACATTTGCTGTTTGATGTTTTACGTTCCCATACCATCCCGCTCATATTTTATGTCTTTATTGATAATTATAAGAAAACTTAGGGTTCTTATGTTTAATGGTCAAATTTACATTGATAGTTAAGTTTTGGCAATTTTATTATGATCTGCTTGTAGATCTGTCATTGTGACTCAGATTGTTGTATCTCCTTGTAATGGCACACGTATAAATTTTGTAATATATTGGTTACGGTGATTGTGGTGGGGGGCCGCGGTTGTGGTAGTGGTGGTAATGGTAGTGGATGAGTTGTGATGGTGGTGGTAGTGGTGGTGGTGGTGACGGTGGTGGTGGCGGCGGCGGCGGTGGTGGTGGTGGTGGTAATGGTGGTGTAGACGTTAAGGAGTACAACATACACAGCAAATGCCTCATATATCTTTACAAGGTAAGCAACATAAAAACACATGCGTCAAGAATCTCCACAAAACGTAACACCTGAAAGCCTGATAAACAGAGATACACCTCAATCTGAAAGACACCGAGGTTCTAGTTATAATGTTCTCTCTCGCCTTAATGACTCGTCCATGTGTTAAAGAACATTTCACATATAATCCTCGCTTAAGAGAGGCCTCTTTAGATAACATTACAGTTCCTCCTGGACCATTATCATGCAACAAGTGAGCGAATGAATATGAAGCTAGACCACAGGTCGGTCTAAAGGGAAGGATAGAGAATAATTCAGGAGACAAGGATCAAGTGACGAAACAAATTAGAAAACTGGTCAGGAAGTAAATGGTTGTTGTAGTAGTAATTTAACTGACCTGTTTATCTGAAGTTTCCTCTCCAATGGCAAGAGTATTTGTAAGTTTCCAAGTGTTGTTGATATACAGGGAGAGTGTAATAGTGCATGTACTCTTTGGTTATGAGAGAGAGAGCATAACAATGCCCACTAATGACCATGGTCTCCGTTCTTAGTGTTTAATTCACTTGTACGTAGTATGACCGCAATGCACACACGCACACACACCATCCCATCTTTGCATGTCCTTTAAATCAATATTTGTTGACACTCACAGCTACAACAACACTTGAAAACTAAGAGTAGACGAAGTAACAAACGTACAGTGTACTGTACTGTCTTGTTTGTTACAGTGTATATATTATGTACTAAACCCAGATAGTACAGTTGACACGACAAGAGACAGCAGTATAGTTCTTTGTATATATACATAGACAGACATATAAACACGCACATTCTCACACACTCACACACAAACACACATACACACTCTCTCTCTCTCTCTCTCTCTCTCTCTCTCTCTCTCTCTCTCTCTCTCTCTCTCTCTCTCTCTCTCTCTCTCTCTCCCCCTCTCCCTCTCTCTCTCTCTCTCTCTCTCTCTCTCTCTCTCTCTCTCTCTCTCTCTCTCTCTCTCTCTCTCTCCTCTCTCTCTCTCACACACACACAAACACACTTTCACACACACAAGGCTCGTTTCTTCCATATTTATGTATCAAAAGTTCTTATCTCAGTAGGACCTGCACATTGTCCATCATCTGGTTGAGGACGTTCCCCGATTTCTGCTCCCATCCCTGCTGCCATCCCTGCAACCACCCATGCTGCCATCCCGACTACCATTCCTGCTATCATCTTTGCTGCCATCCCTACTATCATTCCCGGTATCATCTTTGCTGCATTCCCTACTATCGTTCCTGCTGCCATTCCTGCTGTCATTCCTACTACCATCCCTGCTGTCTCCCTGCTTCCACATTCCCGTACTGGTCTTGCTGCCACCCTGGTGGGCCGTCTGAAGGACCCATCTATGGTCATTCCAGGTCTCAAAGACTCCCATCCGAAGTGAATCCCAGCAGCTAACGCCCTGATAAGTGGTAATCCAGATGGCTAACACCTGTACCATTCGGATTCCTACAAGAAACAAGGTGGTGAGGACCTCGCAGGTGGCGCTGACACAGGTGGGAACGAGGCTCCTGAAGGCGACTATCACGGCGGTGGCGATCTTCCAGATGGAACAGGAAGAGTAGGAGGAGGAGGACGAGGAGGAGGACGAGGAGGAGAAGGTGATGATGCCATGACAGGTGGCGGTGCAGGTGGCGAAGCAGGAGGCTGCCAGCAGGTACAGGTTGTTGGTCAGCCAGGTGGCTGAAGAGGTGGAGGTGGCTGGGTGCTGACTGCTGGTCTCAGGCTGAGTATCGTGCTGCATCGCTGCTGAGTTCTCTCCTGAAGAACAGACAACACCGTCTTCAGCTAGGATAACAGGGGTGATAATCTGAGCTAGGATAACGGGATTAAAACCTGAGCTAAGATAACAGGGTGAGAGACATGGCTGTGATAACAGTAATAACCTGAGCTAGGATAACGATCATAATATGGGATAGGATAACAAAGTATGAGACATGATATAAAATAGCAGAAACGTAAGGTGTGACCGTTGGGGAACCTCAGGTAAGATAATAGGATAAATAATGTGAGCAGGAATAACAGGGTGGGATACGTGAGCTAGGATACAAGTGAATTATGGTGAGCTAGGATAACAGTGTATTAATGTGAGCTAGGATAACAGATTTATAACCTGAGCTAGCATAACACGATGGCAATGTCAGCTAGGATAACATACTGATAACCTGAGGGAGAAAAATAGAATGATAATGTGAGCTTGGATAATAGATTGATAACCTCAGCAATGATAACAGTGATAACCAGAGCTAGGATAACAGGGTGATAACTTGAGCTACGATAACAGGGTGCTAACTTGCGCTAGGATAACGGGTGATCAACTGAGATAGAATAACAATGTGATACTGTCAGCTAGGATAACATGTGTGATACAATGAGCTAATATAACAGGGTGGGGAGACGTGTGCTAGGATAACAGGGTGATAACATTAGCTGTGATAACAGGGTCATTACGTGAACTGGATAACAAAAGTAATACGATTATCCAGCATAACATATACAACATTATTAGTAAGAAGAACAGGTAATATTTACAGATAAATAATGTTATTAGCTTGGATAACAAATAATAGTAATAGTAATATGATTATTAAAGCCATATTAGCTAGGATAAGAAACAATAGTACTAGCTAGGATAAATAATAGTTTAGCTAGGATAACAAACAAGAGCTAGGATAAATAATAGTACTAGCTTGGACGACAAATACTAGTATTAACTAGAATAACAAATAATAGTATTAGCTAGGATAACAAGCAATAGTATTAGCTTGGATAATTAAAAAATATTAGCAAGGATAAATAAAATAATATTAGACAGTATAAATTATGCAAAATCATTAGCTAAGATAACTGATATAATTCTATTAGTCAAGATAACTAAAGTAATACTATTAGCTAGGTTTACCAAAGTAACAATATTAACTTGGTTTACCAAATACTCTTAGCTAGGATAAACAATAGTATAAGCTAGGATTATTAAAGTAATACTATTAGTAAGAATAAATATCACATTGTTTTTCACTATCATAACTAATACTATTGTCTAAGATAACTAATGTAATGACATTAGCTAAGATGAACAAATAATACTTTTAGCTAGGATAGCTAAAGTAACACCAATAACTAGAATAGCAAAATTAATAATATTAATAATAATAATGATTGCTAGTAAAACTAGGTAATTTTATTAATATTAATTCTGTTAGCTAGGAGAACATATTTAAAAGTGTTAGATAGTATAATAGAAGTAATATTATAAGCTAGTTTAAGGAAAATATTGTTATTTTTATTATCAGCAAAGAGAATAGAAAAAGTATTATCAGCTGGTATGGATAGTCATTCTATTAGTAGGGATAACAGGACGCTATCATGTTATCGTAGCTGAGCTATAATTTATAGCAAAATAAATGCTGACTTTCTCAAGGGACGGGATATATACAGTTAGGTTAGCTTAGGTTAGGTTAGACTAGATTAGGTTAGATTAGGTTAGGTTAGGTTAGGTTAGGTTAGGTTTGGTTAGGTTAAGTTAGATTAGGTTAGGTTAGGTTAGGTTAGGTTAAGTTAGATTAGGTTAGGTTAGGTTAGGTTAGATTAGGTTAGGTTAGTTTAGATTAGGTTACGTTAGTTTGGAAATTTATTGAGCCCAAGAAATTCCACCCACCGGCTTCATTTGTAAATAAACTGTAGTAGCCCTTTATGACCCACCCAGACACATGCAGAAATAGCGGAAATCGTAAGTTACATACACTAATTAATAGATTTACACTTTAAGTAGGTTTAAAATGTCAGTAACTATTAGGTTGTGTTGAGTAAACTAGATAAACTGCAACACCTAGCATTTCACATGCGAGTCTATATATAGGCTAGGAGACGCTAGGAGCCTCTTCAAGCTCTAATACCCCTGCCGTTAACAGGTCCCTACGATATACCATACGATTTTCAAATTAGTTTTGGCTGCCCGCAAAGTTCTTCAGAGGCCTTCCCAACGAATCAAGTGTACAAATCTCTGCACCAGACCCAGTTGTGATACTCATTACTGTTTTTTGTCCTTATATTTGTGCCCACTAAATACTGGGGGAAAACTCAGAAATAGTTAGCTTACGGTTAAGAAGCGGGCCTACGACCAACACTCAGGTGATTTGTGGTTCAGATTTTTCTGCAGGTCTCTCAGTTTACTCATGGAAAAGTGCCCTAAAAGCCACTTGTGAGACTGAGACGCTTGGAGTCTTAGGGTGCCTGTCAGCAGTACTTGCCGGAGAGTGCAGCTCACAAAGGGTCACATAACACATCTTCACATGGTCCTTTGAACCGAGATTGTGGGATAGCTAGAATAATTAGACAGATCTATTCTTAGCTGAGCCACAGCTGTTTAATAGTGATATACAAAATTAAGTAAAAGTATCTCACAGCTTGTGCCCAGTGACTAGCCCGAATAACCATGCACAGAAATTGATTATTTACAGTGATTTACAAGTAAGCCAGGTAGGCTAATTAAGCTTGGATATTTAATTATTTACAGTGATTTACAAGCAAGCCACATAGACTAATTATTTTTTTAACACATCGGCCGATTCCCACCAAGGCGGGGTGGCCCGAAAAAGAAAAGCTTTCATCATCATTCACGTGATCACTGTCTTGCCAGAAGGGTGCTTTACACTACAGTTTTTAAACTGCAACATTAACACCCCTCCTTCAGAGTGCAGGCACTGTACTTCCCATCTCCAGGACTCAAGTCCGGCCTGCGGGTTTCCCTGAATCCCTTCATAAATGTTACTTTGCTCACACTCCAACAGCACGTCAAATATTAAAAAACCATTTCTCTCCATTCACTCCTATCAAATACGCTCACGCATGCTTGCTGGAAGTCCAAGTCCCTCACACACAAAACCTTCTTTACCCCCTCCCTCCAACCTTTCCTCGGCCGACCCCTACCCCCTCACAGGTTTATACACTCTCTAAGTCATTGTGTTTCGTTTTATTCTCTCTGCATGTCCGAACCACCTTAGCAACCCCTCCTCAGCCCTCTGGATAATATTTTGGTAATACCACACCTCTTCCAAATTTCCAAACTACGAATTCTCTGCATTATAATCACAAAACACATTGCCCTCAGATATGACATCTCCATTACCTCCAGCGTTCTCGTTGTAACATTCACCACCCATGCTTCACACCCATATAAGAGTATCGGTATAACTATACTCTCATACATTCCTCTCTTTGCTTCAACGGACAAAGTTCTTTGTCTTCACAGACTCCTAAGTGCATCACTCACCCTTTTCCCCACATCAATTCAATGATTCACCTCATCCTTCATAGACTCATCTGCTGACACGTTCACTCCTAAATATCTGAATACATACTCTCTCCCTCCAATTTGATATCTAGTCTTTCATTGCCTTATCTTTTTGTTATCCTCATCACCTTACTCTTTCCTATATTCACTTTTAAATTTCTTTTACATACTCTACCAATTCATCGACCAACCACTGCAACTTCTCGTCAGCATCTCCCAAAACCACAGTGTCATCAGCAAAGAGCAACTGAGATTTCCCACTTTGTGTCAAATTCTTTATCTTTTAACCACACGCCTCTTGCCAAGACCTTCGCATTCACTTCTCTTACAACTCTATCTACAAATATATTGAACAACCACGGTGACATCACACATCCTTGTCTAAGGCATACTTTTACTGGGAAATAATCTCCCTCTCTCCTACATACTCTAACCTGAGCCTCACTATCCTCTTAAAAACTCTTCATTGCTTTCAGTAACCTACCTCCTATACCATACACCTGCAACATCTGCCACATTGCCCCCCTGTCCACTCTGTCATACGCCTTTTCCAAATCCATAAAAGCCACAAAAACCTCTTTACCCCTACCTAAATGCTGTTCACCTATATGTTTCACTGTAAACACTTGGTCTACACACCCCCTACCTTTCCTAAAGCCTCCTTGTTCAACAGCTATCCTATTCTCTGTCTTACTCTTAATTCTTTCAATAATGACTCTGCCATACACTTTACCAGATATACTCAACAGACTTATTCCCCTATAAGTTTTGCACTCTCTTGTATCCCCTTTGCCTTTATGCAAAGTAACTGTGCACGCTCTCTGCCAATCCCTACTAGGTACCTTACCTTCCTCCATACATTTATTAAATAAAAGCACCAACCACTGCAAAACTATATCCCCATCTGCTTTTAATAACATTTCTATCTTCATCCCATCAGTCCCACCTGACATACCCCTTTTCATTCAACCCACTGCTTCACGAACTTCCCCCACACTCACAACTGGCTCTTCCTCACTCCCACAAGATGTTATTCCTCGAAATCGCAGCTTCTCTATCTGCATCACCATTACCAATTTCTCAAAATATTTCCTCCATCTTCCTGATACCTCTAACTCTCCATTTAATAACTCTCCTCTCCTATTTTTAACTGACAAATCCATTTGTTCTCTAGGCTTTCTCAACTTATTAATCTCACTCCAAAACAAGGATATTTTCAACAAAATTTGTTGATAACATCTCACCCATTTCCACATTTGCACTCTTTTTAGATTGCTACACCACTCTCTTAACCTCTCTTTTTCTCTCCATATACTCTTCCCTCCTTGCATCACTTCCACTTTGTAAAAACCTCTCATATGCTAACTTCTCTCTTACTACTCTCCTTACATCATCAGTCCACCAACTTCTGCTGATCCCTTCACCCCATACATGCCTGTACTCCCGATATCCCATCTGTCCTCCAGTA